TATATATATATATATTGATTCATCTATATTTATTACTTTAATCATTTATGTATTTAATTGTATATTCTTTTTCATATAGTCTAAACTACAACATTTGGACTATATATATATATTGATTCATCTATATTTATTACTTTAATCATTTATGTATTTAATTGTATATTCTTTTTCATATAGTCTAAACTACAACATTTGGACTATATATATATATTGATTCATCTATATTTATTACTTTAATCATTTATGTATTTAATTGTATATTCTTTTTCATATAGTCTAAACTACAACATTTGGACTATATATATATATTGATTCATCTATATTTATTACTTTAATCATTTATGTATTTAATTGTATATTCTTTTTCATATAGTCTAAACTACAACATTTGGACTATATATATATATTGATTCATCTATATTTATTACTTTAATCATTTATGTATTTAATTGTATATTCTTTTTCATATAGTCTAAACTACAACATTTGGACTATATATATATATTGATTCATCTATATTTATTACTTTAATCATTTATGTATTTAATTGTATATTCTTTTTCATATAGTCTAAACTACAACATTTGGACTATATATATATATTGATTCATCTATATTTATTACTTTAATCATTTATGTATTTAATTGTATATTCTTTTTCATATAGTCTAAACTACAACATTTGGACTTTTAGATATAAGACGCATTTATTTGCTTCTTGAAAAGGCCTTTAATCTTTAATTTGATACTTATTTTTCTTTTCCTTTTCCTAATCCATCTATATGTAGTAAAGCACTATTCTAAGGGGGGTGTATTCAATTAGGATTCTAGAGCGTTTAAAAAGATTTTGTTTAAGTGCCAACTTTCATAGAACTTGATGGAACTTTAGAATTCGTATAGAACTTGATAGACTTTCAGAAGACTTATATATAATTTTTTAATTAACTTTCTTAAGATTTGTATGGCTTTTATTCCAGACTTCAAATTCAGAAATAGATAGAAGAAAAACAAATGGGAAAAGATCAGCTGACTGCCAGAGGAAAAAAAACTCAAATGTTTCATGTGTGAGACTTTTTTTGCCATCTTTGCCAAAGAAGTGCTCAAGTAGGCCTCCGTCTTCTACAGAAACTTTGAGCCTGTGGCCATCCTTGTTTTTTTTTTTGCTTTGAGATCTCATCAAAGCCATGACTTTATTAAACTCCTCCCTAACAATGTCTCTGTTAATAATACACGTAACAAATTATAAATAAAAAAAATAGATGGAAAGTATAAAAAGTAAAATTATTTTATATAGTAGCATTGCTGTCAATGTATCTAATGGTGATCCAATTTCAAGAGATGTTCTGATACTTGATTTGTACCAACATGAAATAAAAAGCCAAATTCATAATATCTTTTCCTCCAACAACATGAAATAAAATTATGTTTAACGAAAACCCTAGTAACGAGCATAAACTCTAACCCCAAACTATACCCTAATAACAAGAAAAACACGATGAAGAAAAATCATGGAAAAAGAAAACCCAACGAGGTATTGATCGAAGAAAAAATAGGGAGCATACCTTCACAGATGAAGGAAGGAAGCTATTCGTCATTTGTTGCAGAGAGAAAAGCTAGGGCGAGAGAAAAATGTCTAATGAAATACTTAGGGAAGAGGTTGGATTTATTATGGCCTTTGTTATTTATAGCTCTCCCCTTAAAACCTACGAAAATTTATCACTTAATGAAATCCTTCCAAATATATGACCTTTTGAATACACCTAGATTTGATTCAACTTTTTTATAATCCTAATTGAATACACCCATATTTGAATGGATTTTTTAAAAGTTCGTACAAGTCGGAATTGAATACACCCAGACTTGTAAAACCTCTTTTTAAACGCTTTATAATCCTAATTGAATACAACCCCCCTAACTTAACATCGAGTAGCGTACAAAATTTCTTAATAGTTAGTCATACCATGCGTTGCGTGCGGGTTTATATTGATTTAGTGTGCTTAGTTGGATTTGTCGTGTTGTTAACCTCGACCACACATATGGGTGGGCATTGGGAGCGGAAAATAGGAACACCAAACTAGATCGGATTAAAAAAAGGGAAAAAAAATTGGTTGACCAAAAAAGTCAACAAACTGAGTCCAAATTGGACCGAATCGGTTCAAACTGGTTTCAAATTTGATTTCACATAGCACCAAACCGAATCGGTTGTGTATAATTTTTTTTTATTACAAAATTATTTAAATCCAATGCTCCATTTTTAATTTTATAACTAATATTTTTCCAAGTCCAACTTCAAAACATCTCTCTTTGTATGAATTGGATCATTTGTTAATTTTTAAGCCAAAATAATAATTTTTTTTGTTAGCATTTGTATTTAAAAAATAATAATAATACAGTTCAAAACCAGAATCGATGAGAACCAAACAAGCCAATTTTTTTTAAAATTACACTAAGTAGTACCAATTTCAATTTGAGATGAGAACCGGACCGTACCCACCCCTACCCACACATGCTGGCAATGGCATGCATGATAGTTTTCATTTCAAAACCCTTAGAGATCATTTGTGGTTTGAAAATGAAAATCATAATTGCAAAAGTATTTCAAAGAACCAAGCTTTTTCATCCCAAATTCCTTGAACAAATAGTCATGCAATCTTTTCGTTCTTTTGGATAATTTCCTATCACAAATAGTCCTGTAATGCTTTTCGTTCTTCTGAAACATTTAAAATAAGAGAAATGTCCTTTTTTAATAAGGGAATTTTCCTTAATAAATGCAAATATTAAGAATTAAAATAATTAATCAAATATAAATAATAAGATAAATTTATACTTTTTTTTATTAAAAATTAAAAACAAATCAGATAATGGTCATATTTTTACCAAGGGACTAGTTATATATAATCATCCAAAACAAAAATTTAAAAAAAAAAAAAAAAAAAAAAAAAAAAAAAAAAAAAAGGGCCCAAGAATATAATGGGATATGGCCCTCGGGTCGTAGTCCAGGTCATGAAACGGAGCCCAGAGAAAGTTAGTATAAAACACGCCGAAGAAAACCTAGATGACAAAGAAAACCTTTCGCGTTGGAACTTGCAAATTGCAATACAGGTCTGTTCCCCAATGTGAAACCCTTAAATTTATGTATCGTATGTATATTTTATGATTCTTTGCCTACAATAATTTTCTCCCCTTCAATTGATTTTGACCCTCTGTTCTTTAATGTTCTTAACCAATCAATTCATCAATTCCCCAAACCCTAATCGATCCTTTGCATGTTAACTTTTCGTAAAAACCATCCAAGTCACAACGCATATCTTGATCTACTGGCTGGTGTTCGATGTTGTTTGTTGTTTCTAATTTGCAGAGATCAGTCGTAGTGAGAGTTTCGCCATGGCCGAAAGCTCTTGCAAGCTTGAAAATCATCTGGGTTTGTTTTCTTGTCTTTTTGTTTTTTGGGTTAATGATATAGGTTTTGCAATACCCATATGCCGATATCATGCATGGCCTTTTCATCTGTTTTCTTCTTTTGGCTTTGGATATTTTAGAAACGATGCGAGCAGAAGAGAACATTTCAGATCCAGCCCCAGTAAGAATTTTACTGAATCATATATGTTTACTTCCTTCTAGGCAGGCATTCAGTGGAATTTTATGTTCTAATTTGAGTCTTTATGCAGATGGTTGTGAAGAATGCTGCCGCTGCTGCTTCCCTGAGTGTCATTCCTGACATTAATAAGAAGAAGAAGAAGTTTGCTACTAATTCCTCTTGTGCTTTAATTCTCTTGATTCGTATTGCCACAATAATGGAACAAGAATATTGTTCGCCTTTTCATTTATTTATTTTTTAAGTTCAGGAAACCGTCAATAAAAACATCTCCGGTTAGAGCTATACTTTTAGACTATTGGAATATTAGTTACTTGGCGAAGCATGCGGTGAGAATTTCATTGAATTAAGTAGTTTTACTGCCTATGGCTATGTCATTCAGTGGAAATATATACTATGTTCTAACTTGAGCCTCATGCATCTGATTGTGCAGAAGGCTGCAAGCAATGAAATTCCTGGCTCTGATGGGAGGAAGTTAGTTGCAATTCCCTTGTGGTTTGATTATCTTTTTTTTTTTGGTACGGCTGTAGTGGAATAGGATTATGTCTTTTTCGCTTATGCTTTTGATTTATGTTCAGGGATCTGAGGGCTAGTACTGAAAAACATATAGACCCTTGGCGTTTGAGGGAGACGGACCCAGATTGGGTACCAGTAAGAATTTCACTGCATTAAATATGTTTACTTTGTATGGATGCATTCGATGGTTATACTTCGTTTTAATTTGAGCTTCCGTGCAGGTGGCTGTGGAGAAGGATGCAAGGAGTGATATTGCTGAGATTGACGTGAAGAAGTTAGTTGCCAATTCAATTCCCTTGTACTTTTAAGTATATCTTGATTTGATTTATTGCTACCATACCATGGAATAGAAATGTTCTCTTTTTGTTTGTGCTTTTGACACACACACACACATATATATATATATATATATATATATATATATATATAT